TTTCTTCCCCCCCCCCCCCCCCACTGAGTTAGCCTTCAGTTTACTTTATAGTTCAATGAGTGAAATCCATCTATACAACCCAAAACCAACAGGGGTGGGAATTAAAATATAGCAATTCGATTTTTTTAGCGTTTTATTGGGGTATTTGGCCTTGTTTTTTCTCCTAATCAAATTTTTTTTATCTAATGCAATATTAGGTCTAGGAAGGCCAGAAAGGTATAATGAGAACGTTCGGACACGTTTACACATCGGAACTGCCTCGGATTCCGACGGAAATGTCCAATAATTCCTGAACTATTCCGAATTTTAGGGTGAACAAATTATCTCCCAATATAAAGTATAGGTTTTAAGCAACAGTTTAAACCATATTTGGTTTTGAGGCTTTCGGTAAAATTTTGAAATATTTTATTTTTTGTGATTTCATTGTGCTGATCTTCCCCCTCCACAAATCATCCTGTATTAAATTGAAGGGAGAGGGAAAGATATTCGTGTGATTTGAAAACTTTTCATATTTTCTGAATCAATAGACACTTCCCGAATTTGCTTGAGTGCACACGAAACAATAGCTTGGAATCGAGGCGGACAATGTAATCCATTGGAAAACTATACTTATTTCCAATGGATTACATTGTCCGCCTCGATTCCAAGCTATTGTTTCGTGTGCACTCAAGCAAATTCGGGAAGTGTCTATAGGCTCTAATCTTTCAACTGCATGCTATGCTGTAACGAACAGGATTAGCAAAAACATGCACTTTCTGGAGGAATATCCTGAGGCCTCTATTGGGACCATTATAGACTATGTCAGATAGTGGTGCCGTTTTCGGTATCAACCCGAATTTTCATATAAAAAATACTTTGAATAGTGAATTAAGAAAGCTTTGAAGAACCAATTAGAGATACTTGTCTCGTTTTGAGGCTCTTGACTTTTTGACTAGATTTTTTGCAATCTTAGGTTGAAAATTTAGCCTTTTCTTATTCGGCTATTTTTAGCAAAATCACGATTTTTGAACATAAGTGTTTTTAAGGATTTGATCATAAATAAACTTTCTAAAGGTGAGTGGAAAAATGCATGAAAATTTTTTATATCCACCGTATGTTTAGTTTTTCAATTTCATCTGTCCAAGGGAGTCAAAACAACTTGCATCTTCGGAAAAAGTTAAATTTCGCCAAAATTTGGTCGTAGAAATAAATACTTCATAATTGCCTGATTTCAGTTTAATGTCTTTTATTGAGGGCATTTTCCATAGCCTTTGAATAAATGAATTTACATTCTTGCAAATCTACTGTTTTCTTCCCCAAAACTTGTTTTTTCGTATTTTAATAATTTTTAAAAGAATTTTTCGCTAGCGCCTGCAATTTACTGACCAGCGACAACAAAATTCCCACCTGATCCCAAAACCTAAAAGTTCTGTAAGGCACGTTATTATGTTCAAGGGCTTATTTTTACGTGTAGTGTTCACATGAACATTAACTAATTATCTTTGTTGACTTGTACTGTATAAATCAACGTCAGCTCGCTAATTGTATTTATAATATATTTCAGACTCTAAAATATTTAGGTTTACATACCACGCCATCCAGCAATTGCCTAAAATATTTTTGGGCCAGCATTTGGGGCATGCCAATATCAGGTTCTAAGAAAAACAAATATAATTTTAAAGAGAGTGAGCTTGCCTTAGGTTAACAGTATGGTACAATGCACCTTTAAGTACCAAAACGGGTTTGATATTAAAATTGTGTGTCTTTAGTTAGGGACTTTATCATGCCTGTAGGCATATCCTAACGACATAATTGGTAACGTATTGAACTAATATAATTGTAGACCAGAATACTTGCAGGGCTTTGGTCTCCTAAAATTGAAATTTACTCTATGAAAGCAAGTAAAAATTTGAGTGCGCTGTTCGACAAGGCATTCCCAGAGTTTTCAATTTCGTTTTACACACTGGTTTTTGCACAAACACACTTGGCTTTAGTTAACTCGACTACGAGAGTTCATTTCTGGGCCTCTCAGCCTCGTTTTTATGCTTAATCTATTACAATAAGTATAGTATATAGTAGCAAGTGAAAATTCCCATCGCCCTAATACTGTAAAAGTTAAATCTGCACCTTTGAAGAGTATAACTTAACTTGGTCTTATTGATTTCATTTAGTGAAACTTGCCATTTTCTTTTTAATACCTGCACAGTAAATGTAAGTACTTGGTCAAAATACTGCAGTTTTTTTTAGGTAATTGGCCTATACTTACACGTCATTACGGTGATCGAATATTAGTTTTCACCACACCCCACTCACCCAACTGTCGGCGGCAAAATAAATAAATAGTGATGATAAAAAAATAAACGTAGGAAAACACTCAAACAGAAAAGGACAATGCAACACTCTGAAACTAATCGCACCTCACTTCCATTCAGAATCACTGGTTTATTGGAGCAATATAAAGCTTTAAAATTCTATTATCTCAGCTTAGATCATCCTTTGCATAGTCCTTTGCTTTTAAAGTTGATAATAAGTATTACTTTACTAAGTTTAACCCAAAATATAAGTTAGATATTATAACGTAAAGAAACGAGAAAATTAAAGAATCTTTGTATGTAAAAATATGTAACTATGGTTCAGTTAAAGGATTTTTTATACAATACAGTAAATTAATCGACACTCTTCTCTATGCTCAGGCTCCACAGTCCACCCCTAGAGTGTAGACCTCATTGGGGTTTGGTAATGCTTTGTGTTGCCTCACCTGCTCACCCCGCTAAAAGTTCTGGCACCACCCCGGTAAAAATTATGAGAACCTGTCTATGGTGACAGTCTGGAACTTGTTTGTTTTCACCATACTATTATTTTCATATTATTTTCGCACTATATTTAAATATTCGTACATTTTGCTGGTACCATATAACCAGTAAACGTTCCAAACCCTAACAGGCAGTTATATGTGTAAACTCGACATCTCCGACATGTTTTGGCATGAAGCTTGACTGGCCTGATGGAATGTGGTTTGACCACCTCACAGCGTTCGTTGCAGGTGATGTCAATAAACATTGCATCCGGTTTCGTAATCTCTTAATAAAATCCTATAAACACTAAACCTAATCCATAACGAACGCCTGTGAAATGGGGCTAAGGAAACAAATAAAATATGCTCCTTTTATGTTTTACATACTTTAACTAAGTAACAGGGTTTAAAATAAATATTAATTAAAATTTAGATATAAGCTGTTTGGTGTGTGCGTGTACCTTTTTTGTACTGGCAATCTTTTTCAAGCTCTGATAAGTCGAACATGAAATACCCGGATCATGTACAAAAGCTGCAGTAAAATGGGTAGCAAAATACAAAACGCATGCAACAATAGTCTTTTTAAATATCAAAACATTTTTCAAAAATTATTATGAAAATCATATGATGAAAATCAATGCCCAGCATTACACAAGCAATTAAATAAGCCATCACATATTGAAATTTTTAAATATTTACTAAGAACTAATGCTTTTTTGTCCATGGATCTTTCATACAGGACATTGATCATGTTCATGGCAACCAGAAATTCATGGCAACCAGATTCATGGCTGCCAGAATGCTTAACGTAATATTTTTATGTCAAGACAGCATCTTTTTAATTTAAAACTCACAAATTCATTGTATATTGTAGATCAATGGATTAAATATTAAGAAGAAAAACTCATTATTACTAATTTAATTAAAACAAGTCACCGGCTAAAGCTGTGAAAATGCTGGTGACAGCCGACAGCTATTTTAAACCCTGAAGTACACTTCATCCCGAAGACTACACTAAGTACACCAGTGAACTACAGCTAAACCTTAATTATCGCATCCTGAGTGCATCGCCATGCTAATTAAAAAATAAACAATAACCTCACCAATTTTGTCAAAGAGTTCTCCTCCTGATGCATATTCCAGGAACAAATACTGTTTGTCACCATCTGTTCTGCTACCATAGAAGCGAATGATATGCACATCTTGCAACATGCGGTGAATGCATATCTAAGAAAGGTTTAATTTGTAATTCATGTACTGTGTTGCAGAATGACAAACCATCTGGCAGTGTGATCAGTTAGCCCAAGTTATATTGCGTCCTACATTATTTTTGACTCACAGATGTTGCAAAGCTATAGCAACATCTGTGAGTCTTTGTGGTTACTTGAGTGTGGGTCAGTTAAACAATGGGAAATGACCAGCCTGCTTTGCACACACTGTTTGCCTGCGAATCAGACATTTTAGAACCGGAAAACAGGCTGGAGCACACGTTCGTTCTTTTGATTGCACCAAGCATGCAAATGGCAAAATTCACACAGTGCCTGTTTGCAAAAACAACTGCAAACTGCTCTAATTCTTTTTGTCACTTTCATTTTGATATCATCCGTGAGTCGGCCTCAAAGGCGACTGTCCAACACCAGATGATTTTACTTGTCAAGGGGAGAGTGCCGGTGCTCAAATGGGAGAGTGCCGGAGCTCAAATGGGAGAGTGCAGGCGTTCAAGGGGAGAGTGCAGGCGTTCAAGGGGATAGCACCAGCACTCAAAGTGGAGAGTGCCCATAACACAGTGTCCTTAGCTGATATAATCTTGAATGAAATAATAAAACATCGGTCGACAGGGATGCGACCACCTGAAAAATACAAGGAGAATTTGTCCCTGTATTTCTCAGGTAGAATGCATCAATCCCTAACAACTTAGCTGAGTATGGTTTTATTCATAAGAAATTTGTTTGTCCCATAGTGAGACATTAGTGTACAAAGCTCTCCCCTTGAACAAGGGTGGGTAGTAGCAAAGTAGTTGTAGTTTGTTACTGTAGCAAACTACAATTTTCAAGTAGCTAGTAGTTTTTGACTACTTTTTTAAAACAGTAGCTGTAGTTATAGCGAACTACAATTTGCCTAAAAGTAGCCAAGTAGTTGACTACTTTTCAAACAGCGAATCACTATTCACTACTTTTTAAAACTGTTAGCAACTTGATAGAATAGCATGATATTGAGACATGGTTCGCTTAAAAACAATACTCAATAGTCAATTTGCACTCCAGAACACTGTAGTGCTTACCAAAATGTTGCTTTGTGTTTACTGTTGCTACTGGTAAGTCGATTGTTATAGGTTAATTACAGCTTGAGTTAGTAGATGCTCCAAATACAGAAAAACTAAAAACTATAGCGTAGCGATAATAGCGAATATTTTTACATTGGCTATTTTTACATTACAAAAATTTGCCGACCTGGGAGGTTGATAGATCAGCATTTAGGTAGGCATAATTTGCCGAATGCCAACCTCGTTTTCGAGGGCTGGCGAACTACAAAAATTTTGTAGTCAACCCACCCTTGCCCTTGAAGCACAAAATTGTCTGCCGTTAGACAGAGTGAAATAGTAAAGTCGGGTGCATTTTGGCGCATTGCAGCTTTATTGGTTAATATTTAGGTGCACCTATATAATATTTATTTAATATTATAGTAAACCTCTTTGCGAATATCGTCAGGACATGCCACTTGCTTCAAATTGATAATTTTCACAGCAATTGCCTCCTCAGTAGTTTGATTAATGGCCAGCTTCACCCTGCAGAAAAATGCGCTTTGTAAGTAATATGTGATCAACTTTTCATTCATTCGAAATACATTGAGACATAAATACACTGAGACAAGATTATAATACACAGCAGACAGTATATCAGCAATGATGTGCTTATACTGTTGTAACACATTTCAATCATTATAAAACGTACTCGCCAAATGCTCCTTCCCCCAGAGTCGCGACAAAATTCCAGCCTTCTACAAATGTTTCCATGATGGAATCTTTTATACTCTAGCTAAAAGAACAATGTAACTGCTTCGAAGTTCCAATCAACCGATCATGTTTAAAGTCGCTCCTTCGAAAGTTCGAATCACTGGTTCGAATCTTCGGTTGTGTTTCCCGCCAATTTGCGCTATCCGGTGCTTCCACTTGTGAAGAGTGTAAAGCTTGATTTTCCTTAGCCTGCGAGCAGGCTATAGTTTTTCCTTTCCGGGTAGCCCAGTCTGTATTTATTTTTTATTTTATTATATTTTGCATTAAAAATTTACTTTAAATTCTAAAGTATAACTTACTTGGGTTCCTTTATGTATTCTATGTAATTTAGGGGTGGTTTTAGTTTGGTATATGTATAATGATTTCACCGACGATTTGGGGGAAATTTAGGTCTTGCCCAGCTTCGCCCGGCGTCACACCTTTGCGTTATTGGTAGTGGGTAATATTAGATGATATACAATATAGGCCGGGTTCAACGAAATGGCCTGAAAATCGTTAAGTAAAAAGTTAAGTAAATGACATAGTAAACATGTAAAAGTCCACCATATTGTGAATCAGTGTCTATTTAGGCTCTGCCGGCTATATTATATATATAAAATATAAAAAATTATTAGATTACTCGCTCTCGATTTCTATGAGGTGATACGCCCTCGTCAACTATATCACATCATAGAAATATCGAGCGATTAATCTCATGGGCACCCTGTTAAAGGGGGCCCCAAAGGTGTAATTTAAACAATTTATTTGGAACGTTTTCTACATAAGTAATGGTATGAGAGGATCTTTTAAACCTTCATTTTACTGTTATTGGTCCGAAAAAATGTGTTCTAGCCATGATTTTGCAACTATTTGTCACAAAAAGTTTTTGAACCTTTTTATGGATATGTCCGGGAAAAAGTTTTTTCCTTCTTCTGCCCCCCCCCCCCCAACCTGCCACGAGGGCCCCCGAAATTCTCTGTGCGGCCCTGAGTAATCTAATTGTTAAATGGGTTTTTATTCAATACTCAATAGTTGATATATTTGTGCATGCCAGCCGCCATACATAGAACAACTACTTCATTTGAATTATTTCAATGTATTAAAGACTAGATATACAAGATAATTTTTTCTATACCGTTTCTATGCCATTCACAATAGTCAATACATATATATAATATAATATAATCGTATATTATCCTTGATATAATGTATTTGCTTCTGCGGATTTTCATTTTTTGTCAACGTTTAAAGTTTCTAAAGCCCTTCGTAATAGTTCGTATAAATTAACTTGGAAACATTTTGCGGAATCGAACGATAGTTGTAATTAGACTTTCCAAAGTCCGCGGTTCGTGGTTCGCGGTCCCTAGCGAGCGACTTGGGCAAGTCTAACATGCAGGCCCGGAGCTACGGGGGGGTGTGGGGGGGTGTGACACCCCCCCAGTAATTGTATTCAGTCGGCAGGACTGCTATTCAGTCGGTAGGACTGCTATTCAGTCGGTAGAAGCTATTTGGGTTAAATATTTTTGGCGCAAAGGGCAATAACGTGGTGGGAAATTTAGGAAAATTTTGAGGAAAAATGTAAAAAATTTTCGAAAAATTTTAAAAAATGTTGAAAATTTGCTGTGTGGAAAATTTTTGAATGTTCGGGAAAATTTTTGTACGTCCGGAAACATTTTTTGACCCCTAAAATGGTACACTGACCGAAATTTTTTTGGCGACGGGGGGGGGGGGAGGTCGTCAAAAAAATTTTGTTCCGGAAAAATTTTTTTTGAACCAGTCGGTTGAATTGAATTACACCCCCCCTGAAAAATTTCCTGAGGACGGCCCTGCTAACATGAATGTTTTATAAATGCAATTATCTCCCAACGATTAAATCGACTCGTTTACATCCAAGGAAGCAAAGTAGTGACATTTGTGAAACCAGTGAGAATGGATACGCCTCATGGAACCAGACATTCAATTGACTAAAAAATGCATAAGGCCATATACTGTACAATACTCATTGCAATTGTGTCTCTAATATAACAGTGTATCCCATATATCCCTATATGTAGTAATGGGTTCTGAAAGATCCCCTGGAGGGACCTCAGCTTCTTCGGTTTGACTAGACAATCTCGAACCTATACTGCACTGAGCGTAAAAAGCATGCAATCGTTAGGCGACAAAATCATTATTTTTCTATATGCTATATATTTTATATGCATTAAATGTATATTCCTGTCTCAGTGAAACCCATTAAAACTGGGCATGAATTCCGGCTATACTCTTTTTAAAATGAATACTTAAATCGTAAAAAAGCCAAAACGCACCCGCTGTATGGTAGTCACAATCGATACAGATTAACAAACTATTTCAACAAATCTCTATACCGTTTAAATAATCAATGAACTTAATATAAATCTCCAATAGTTTCGAAATTCTCATCATTTGTAATGACTGCTTCATTTCCCTCCATTTCGCTGTACAGTTTGTGAAACTTTCTAGCTGAAATAAGTAGGAACAACGCCCACTTGAAAGTCATGAATCCCCAAACAATCACCACGTAACTTCCTTTGGGGTTCAAATCTAAAAAAAGGATTCACATTTGAAGGCAACTGCATAAGCGTATGAGACTGCAGTGGCAGGGAAGCAGGGGAAGGAGGGGCGAAATCTTTAAGATAATAATCGAAAATGCGAGGAATAGGTTCCCAAAAATTTTAACACCCCCCCCCCCCCAACCCCCCACGAAAATTATTCCAACTCCCCTCCGATTTATCAGGAAACGTTTTGGGCAAAATGCAAAAAAGTCGGGCAAATTTCTTTCTACACCCCCCCCCCCTCGATCATCCACCACCGACAGATTAGGCCAGCTGTCAAGTATTCCATAGTAATGGAAATAGACACTTTCATATTTTCTCGAGTGCACACAAAACAATCATAAAACAATAGGTTAAACTCAACAGCGACTATGTTAATATGATTTTACATAAAACAAGTTATAGTTAATTTGTTGGCTTATCTTAGCTTTGTCACTCAATGAAATTCACGAGATGTGTACTAATTCGGGTATGCTTGCAAACAATCCAACATCAACTAACAATATATTTACTTCAATTAACTTCCTCAGTATTTCAACTAAGTAAGAGTTATTACTTATTTACTGAGACCGAGGGAAACAGTGTGTTTTGTGGGTTATCGCTCCATGTTTCGCGCACCAATATAGGTTAGGGTTAGGGATTAGGTACATTACATAACTTTTACTATATTGGTGCGCGAAACATGGAACGATTACCGTTTTGGGGGCCACAAAACACACTGCTTTCTCGAGGTCTCAGTAAATAAGTGTTTGTTATATAGTATATAAGTGTCAAAGTATAAATAATTCACCGGTTATTGTAGGGAACTTAATTTGAAACCAAAACTGGATAAATGGAACACCGTAAATGTTTAAAATAAAAAGTTTAAAAAATGAACTTTGGAACTTCATGGTTGACACGCATGCGTATTGCTTCCATTTTATTATTGACCGGTCAATAAATGTTTCATTGTGGACCGGTGGCCTCCTCGGAGGCTGCTCCGTTTACTGTTCGGAGTACTCCGGATTTTCGGAACACCAATTGAATCGAACCTAAAACGGTCACATGACTGTTCTGACTGCCCCTACTCAAAAGTAGGGGCAGCCAGAACAGTCATGTGACCGTCAGAATAGTCATGTGACCATTATTGATTCCATTTAATTAGTGTTTTGAAAATCCGGAGTACTCCGAACAGTAAATGGGGCAGCCTCCTGGTAAAGCACGCAGTGAACATGACGTTTTGTGGACCGGCACGTGATACGGTTTTGACCAATCGGCAAACAGAAAAATTGAACTTTGACACTATATAACAATGAGTATTAGAAGTAATCAGACTGCATAATAGAGACTGTTAGATATTGATGGAGATTGTGAGATATTGATTGAGATTGTGAGATATTGATTGCGGGATATTGTGATGGTTAGAGATTGTTTGAGTGTTTGTTAGCGAGAAAACAAAAAATTGAAAACGAAAGTATACAATCCCATTTGAAATCTCGCGAAGAAAATTTATAACATACAGCCTTGTACGTATTTGTTTCGCAAACAAATGTCTACTTTGGTTCCACGGAGGCTCATAAAGAATCGAACGGCGATCGAAAGAAACGGCAAAACAGAAGAGCCTCTGGTCAAATTGATTGCTAATCTCACTTGATATAGACTTGATAAGGTTAAGAATCTGAAAATTTAATTTGTTATTGTACTGGATTAAAAACTATTTTACTGACAGCTTTATTAGGAACAATACCAGCTAGTTCCCAAACGAGACTATAACCCATGCAAGGCTATACCCCCATGCACCAAAATAAATTAATTACATATTACAATTACAATTAATAAATTTTATAGTTTACAACTCTTGAAAGTGCCTATACACACTCCATATAGGTTGGACCTAAATATGGAGATTAAAACAAATTTAAAAACCTAATTACACGTCTTGTGAAACGCGAAAACGTGCAAGCTGGAAAATTATTCATTTTACAAAATACTGGGCCCAACCAATCGCAGGATGTAAAGGCACCTCAACTCCTATGCATGACAAGCACAGTCTCTAACGAAACCTTCTAAATGAGGCGAGACTATTAAAACTATTATTCGGTGCAACTTTACAGAGTTCCACATCCTAACAATAGATTAAAATATGAGGCTTTAAAAGAACTTTGTTTTACAAAGTGGTGTTTTTAAAACTAGAGTTGAATTACTATTAAGACGCGCCCGTCATGCGTGAGTAACAAATGAGACATCGTCCAGTAGATTTAGATCATATAGACCACGAAGAGCTTTATAGAAAAATATAAGGTCTCTTACTTCACGATCATAACACAGAGGTACAGATGGAGATTAGTTAGTCTGTCTTTGTAAGTAACGTCTCCCACCTTCACTCTATAAGGATCCATCTAGTGGAACGCCTTTGCATTTGTTCCAGTTTGATTCTGGGAAACGAATGGTGAGGAGACAGACTTCACTAGCGTAGCAAAGTTACTTCACGTGAGCCAAATATAGTGTTCGCTTTACCATTACATCCATCAAGAGAGGACAGGTTCTCTTCAGCAACCCTAGCATCCTATTTCCTTTCGCAGTTATCCTATGAATGTGGGAGTCCCAAAACAGGTTTTTTTAAATTAATACCCCGAGATCTTTTTCTTGGTCAACGTTGACTATGAGAAACTGGTTAAGGTGACAACGTTTCTTTCGAGTAATTAACATCACCTTGCATTTGGATTCGTTGAAAGAAATATTACTGGTACTCCAATTCGTCAAATTACACAAAGCTTGCTGTAGTTCTTGAGCATCACATTCGGAAGTTATCCCTCTGAAGGCTTTGGTGTCGTCCGCATATATAAGGCAACCTTCGTTTTTTGTGGAACGACATTTGGTAGGTCTGTTTTCGACTTTTAATATATTATTAAAATCCTGAAAATGTGTTGTTATCGTTTTATCTTGGTCAAAAAAATTTACAAAGATTTAAAAACCCTGCATTTTTTTATCTACGCGCGTGGACGCAGATATATTGCTGTCGTGTTAATGTCGCGTGTGTAAGTTAAATTTGTTAACCATGTACGGTTTCTTAATAATGACGTAATGCACACAGAAAAGCTGCAAAATGGCGGCCATCGAGGAGTGAGGAAGAGGTTATTTCGCTGACCTCAGAGTGACAAAACGTAACAAAGCAACGGTTTTACTAACACTAAGTAAACACTATTCCAAACACCAACTCTATAACGACCCTCTAACTCTAACCATAATCCTAACCCTAACCCTAACCTAACTCTACTCCAAGTTTGTTTCTAAACCAATCTTGAAGAAAAACGTTTTGACGAAATGTCTCTGTCAGTGAACTAACCTTTTCCAATCCGAGGAGTGAAGGTAACACTCTCCTCCGCAGAGCCGTATAGTTAAACACAAAAGGTTAAACACGAAAGGCTAGCACATTACGTGTTTTTCCGCGTTTGACTTTGACGTCATTATAAGAAAGGTCTATTATACGACTCTGCGGAGGAGTGTGAAGGTAATATTCCAATATCGCAACCTTTTCGCAAGTAGAATCAACAAGAAACTGCGAGTTATTAAACACGGAATTGTGCGGTGCCTCCACAATGTTTTCCAAATTTTGTTAAATAAATTGAAAAATTTCTTTCGAAAATTATTAAAATCAATGGCATTGTACTAGCTGACATCTATTCTACCGACAAAATTAGCTTCAGAACTAAGACGTTTGAAACGGGCCTCTTTTTCTCCAAGAATCGAGTTTCTTTCGCAGGAATACCGAATTACTATCTATGTTGAGTTGGTTGCACGAGGTGCTCAGTACAATCGGCGCAGATACGTGCACGCCTAGCGTACCTATTTTTAAATGTTCAAATCATGCTGACTGTTGTAAACATATTTTGTGTTTCAAAGAATGCTCTTGTTTTTAGCAATATGATAACTTATTGATTGAGCTTGTTCGGGCCGGACAGTAGGATATTATAATCTCGATCGTTCTTTTCTAAAAATACAAACAAAAAATGAACTCGACTAATATTCTACAGTCTGGACATCTCGCTCATTGCAGTCAATACTAATCAGTGGTGGCTTTCGGCAATTCTGATTTTCAATAAATTCCGAAAATTGAAAACAGAATTTTGTAGAACTTTCAGAACTCCGGTTGATTAGCGCGAATTCCCCACGTTTTTTCATGACATGAAATGTTTTACCACAACGTGAGAAAACATACCTTTGTAGAAAAAATATCCAAGTATCTTAAACCTTTCCATCACATGCTCACTGTCTCAATATTCCCAACTTTTTTGACGTTGTCTAGTTTTTTATGAAAAGAGGAAATCACAAATTTCCCACCTTTTTCGCGCTTACCACTTCGTTAACAAAACCCGCGAAAAGGTACCTTTTTCAAATGGTACAACTGGTCTTACCTAGAGTGCCCCTCCCATCAAGTGGTCATGCAGACGTAGTTTTACAAATTGCAAAGTGATCGCACAGAGAGTTATGGCGACTGTAACATGGTGATAGGGTCACTGATCGTGAACGTCGGAAATTTGTCCATGATTTTTAGCTTGATGTTAATGATGAGTACTGTATATCTCACTTCGGAAGAAGGAGAAATAATTCTCCCCTCGGAAAATAGATTCTTTGAAATTTCGAATAGTTTTATACTGTCAACGGAGAGCACATAACCAACAATCCCAGTGGTTATCTCGGCCACTAATTGGTTTGCCTATTTCCTATTAACCGTCATCCTCTTTTGCACGGACATCACTTAACCCTCCGCCAAGTCGAACATCTTCGACAACGACGACACCTATAGAAAGGCCAAGATTCAGAGCCAACGATAAAATAATTAATGGTTTGAAGAAATCATTCACTGAAACCCCTTGTGACCCCTGGGAAATTCTCCTTTAAAATATTACTTTTTGACCTCAGCATGGATTTTGATGATCCATAATAATTGTATATTTCCATACTATGGATATAGTATCGAAATAGTATGGATATACTACGGATTTAGTGGTTCAATTGTAAATTTCATAGTGTGGATTTCACATTTTTTCCCTAGTAGAACAGCAACAACAACAACGAGTTTTGGTGCAAAACTTATAAATTAACGAATCAATTTGCAAACGTCTGATCACTTGATGGGAGGGCCACTCTGGGTAAGGCCAGTGTGTGTAGCGTATTAATTACTGGCGTTAAATGGTTCAATTTCAAAAAGGTGCCTTTTTCGCGGCTTTTGTTAACGAAGTGGTAAGCGCGAAAAAGGTCATGGGAAATTTGCGATTTCCACTTTTCATGAAAAACTAGACAACCTAAAAATTTGAGAATATTGAGACAGCGAGCATGTGATGGAAAGGTTAAAAATACTTGGGTATTTTTTTCTAAAAAGGTATGTTTTCTCACGTTGTGGCAAAACATTTCATATCAACCGGAGTAGAAAAGTAAAATCCTGAAAGTTCTACAAAATTCTGTTTTACATTTTCGGAATTTAGTGAAAATCAGAATTTCCGAAAGCCACCATGCACTGATTCAATCTAAATGTGTTGCGTGACCTTGCTTGACCACAGCCCTGACCGACATACGTGTTATATCTACAACTTGAAACGAGCCGCTACTCAACGATGCGTTTTGAAAAACAGGAGGAATTGTTGTAGTGAAAAAAGGGGGACACGGGCACTTCTGGAAAAGCGGACAGGTTGTCATCATAGAAATATTAGATCTAATATTTCTATGGTTGTCATAGACGCGTAGTTATAGAAGATGGACAGTTATAAAACAGGGCCTTTTTTAACCGACAAGCTGGGGGGGGGGGGCATTTGCCCCCCAGTCCCCCCTTGTGCCCCCCCCACGAAATCACATTTTGCCCCCCCCCCCCAGGAAAAGTCCCTTTTTCCTAAAATTATAGGCTACAAACAATCCAGCGAAGATTAACAAATAGATAAACGGAAAGTAAGTTTTAGGTTTTATCCTTTGTTCTTGTTTAACAAAATCGATTTA